CCTGATTAACGTGGTGAAAACCTATCTCTACTAAAAAAAAAAAATACAAAAATTAGCCGGGCACATGCCTGTAGTCCGAGCTACTAGGGAGGCTGAGGCAGGAGAATCGCTTGAACCCAGGAGACGGAGGATGCAGTGAGCCGAGACTGCACCATTGCACACCAGACCGGGCAACAAGAGTGAAACTCCATCTCAAAAAAAAAAAAAAAAGGATTATGATGGATGTTTTACTTTTCCATTCTTTAAATACAGACTCAGAAAAGCATTCAAAGCCTTTGATTTGAATCTCAGCTCTACTATACCTACTGTGTGATCTTGGTTAAATTATTTATTGTCACTGAGCTTCAGCAAAAAAAAAAATGGAAAAAACAGTATCTCTATAAGGAAATTAACATCTACTATAAAGGACTCTTACAAGTATTAAATGAAATAACACATGTAAAGAACATGACACAGTAAATGCTCAATAAAGGACACTAACCTTCCCTACAGCCTCCTTAAATAATTTATACAAGACTTCTCAGTAGTAAACCTAGGGCTTAAACCCAGATCTCCTAATTACTTAATCTATTTTCTCCTTACATTACATTGGCAGGCTGCCACATAGTACTGGACACATAAATACATTCTGACAATAAATAATCACAAAATTTTTATCCATCAGTAACTAATTTTAGCTGTGCAAAAACAAAAAAAAAAATTGATCATATTAACCTGGGGGAGCTAGAAAAGATAAAATATAAATGACCCCAAACCACAGGACAGGCTGTACCAGAACACTTCTGTACAAACAGAAATTAAGACACTGAAAGCTCTGAGTTTATGAGGAACAATTGGAGAATGAAACAAGAATGACTGTGATTAAAGGAACTTAAGTTTTTTGGGGATAAACCAAACCACTGGGCAAAAAAATGTGGATTCCACTCCAAAATAACTCTATCAAGGCTGAGGCATATCTTGGAAAAAGACACCTTACTGTGCTAACAACGAAACATTTTCTCTTATTCCTTTAAGAGTGAGATGAATTGGAAGAGTGAGAGAAACTGTCAACTTAAACAGACAACATTCACCAATATGCTTGAGGACCATAATGTTTGGATTCGATATTAACAAGCACCCTAAAGTTACATGATCAAAACAAAAGTTTTATAAGTATCCTAACACATATTGAAAATATTGTGAAAATTATACAGTATAAAAATATATGGCCAGGCACGGTGGCTCACGCCTCTAATCTGAGCAGTTTCAGAGGCCAAGGTGGGCGGATCACAAGGTCAGGAGATCGCGACCATCCTGGCCAACATGGTGAAACCCCATTTCTACTAAAATACAAAAAATTAGCTGGGCATGGTGGTGCACACCTGTAGTCCCAGCTACTCGGGAGGCTGAGGCACAGGAATCTCTTGAACCCAGGAGGCAGAGGTTGCAGTGAGCCGAGATTGCGCCACTGCCTCCAGCCTGGTGACAGAGCAAGACTCCGTCTCAAAAAAATAAATTTAAAAAAATGTAAGCCAGGTGCATGCACCTGTAGTTCCAGCTATTGGGGAGGGCTACTTGAGCCCAGGAGTTTGAGTCCAGCCTGAGCAACATAGGGAGACCTCATCTCTCAAAAAAAAAAAAAAAAAGGTTGTATATGATAGGCCCACAATTAACATCATACTCAACAGTGGGAAGGTGAAAAAAAAAAAAAAAAAAAAAGTAAATTACTACTTTATTAATAAAAATAATTGTTTTTTAACGACATACATAACTAATATTTTTCAAGCGATGTACATAACTCTGTTCCAGGTCAAGTTCTAGAAGTTCAAATCTTCAATCATCTCCAAGAACTTTTTTACTAAAAGACAGAATTCATTTACATTCTGAACCTGTTCAGTTTTTAAAGGAAATGTCAAAAGAGAACCCAATCTAACATTAACAGAACAATGCAAGATTTAACCAAGTAAGTTAAAAGCTGAGTGAAAACACAAAAAATTAGCCGGGCATCGTGGCCTGCGCCTGTAATCCCAGCTACACGGGAGGCTGAGGCAGGAGAATTGCTTGAATCCGGGAAGTGGAGGTTGCAGTGAGTTCCACTGCACTCCAACCTGGGCGACAGAGCAAGACTCCATCTCAAAAAAAAAAGAAAAAAGAAAAAAGAAAAAGAAAAAAAGTTGAGTGAACTTCTATCACAAAGCATGGGATAAGTTGATTAAGTTGATAAGCTCTATCCCTGTAACCTCCCATCAACACCACCAAATTTCTTGGCCTCAATTCACCTTAAGCCTCTGCCAATTATTTCCTGCAGAAACATAATAAAATATTCCTAAGATTGCTTCAAGACACTCACAGCAATTTCCATTTGTTATTTAGCATTCATTAGGAGTCAATGAGATATTCTTTATAACTCTAAATTCTACACAGAACTTATCAATTCCCAGTGGACAATGTTGCTTTCTTCTCTACATTCTTTTATCTGATATACATTCTCTTCTACCATAAAAACTTTTTCAAAAATGCACATTCTTAGCTTAACTCCCCAATCTAGATTCTCCATAAAGATAGTCTGGTGGCTCTTCATTAATCCCTTTCTGGGAGCACTGAGGTCGTGTAACTAGGAAATTGCTCATGATTAAGGGCCATTCATTTAAATCTTGCTGACCTCACACAAAAAATTAAAGGAACAGTAATCTTTCCAAAACTTATACAAGAATACTAAAATAGTGGGAGAATGTAGCCTTGTACAGTCTCCACTCAAGGACTAGGAACTGAATCTCTATACCCTTAAAACCACTCTCTTGGCCGGGCGCGGTGGCTCATGCCTGTAATCCCAGCACTTTGGGAGGCCAAAGCAGGTGGATCACGAGGTCAGGGGTTCAAGACCAGCCTGGCCAAGATGGTGAAACCCCATCTCTACTAAAAATACAAAAAATTAGCCAGGTGTGGTGGTGGTGCCTGTAATCTCAGCTACTCAGGATGCTGAGGCAGAGAACTGCTTGAACCTGGGAGGCGGAGGAGGTCTAGTGAGCTGAGATAGCACCACTGCACTCCAGCCCCGGGGGCAAAGCAAGACTCTGTCTCAAAACAAACAAACAAACAAACAAAAAACACCCTCCTACTGATTCTACATACTTTGGAAACTTATCCAACCCAGAATGACCTCAAGACTGATTTTTTTTTTTTTTTTTTTTTTTTTGGATACAGAGTTTGGCTCTTGTTGCCCAGGCTGGAGTGCAATGATGTGATCTTGCTCATGGCAACTTCTGCCTCCTGGATTCAAGTGATTTTCCTGCCTTACCCTCCCGAGTAGCTGGGATTACAGGCATGCACCACCACGCCCGGCTAATTTTGTATTTTTAGGTTTCTCCACATTGGTCAGGCTGGTCTCGAACTCCCAACCTCAGGTGATCCACCCGCCTTGCCCTCCCAAAATGCTGGGATTACAGGTGTGAGCCACTGCACCCGGCAGGCTGATATTTTTTTTTCCCCAACAAAGAAGTGACACAAATTAGGATCATGACACTGAATCCGATGAAAATGAGAGACTTAGTCCCCAACCTTTCCAAGTTGGGAAGGAAAAGAGAACCACAAAGGAGTTTCATTTAAATATCTCAATATTTGAATGATTTCTACATACAGCCTTTTTTAGCTTTTGTATGTGCAGTGACCAAACTAGTAATCAAATATAACAAAACTGGGCGGGCGCGGTGGCTCATGCCTGTAATTCCAGCACTTTGAGAGGCCGAGGTGAGCGAATCACTTGAGGCCAGGAGTTCAAGACCAGCCTGGCCAACGTGATGAAACCCCACTTTAGTACAAATACAAAAATTAGCCGAGTGTGGTGGCGCACGCCTGTAGTTCCAGCTAGTCAGGAGACAGAGGCAGGGGAATCGCTTGAACCCGGGAGGCAGAGGTTGCAGTAAGCCAAGATTGCGCCACTGCACTCCAGTTTGGGCGACAGAGCGAGACTGTCTTAAAAAAAAAAAAAAAAAAAGAGAGAGAGAGAGAGAGAGACTCCTTGGTTTTCCTTTGGATACTCCCCAGAAAGCAGACCCTCATACAGGACAAGCGTTTGCCTTCAAAGTCTTGACCATCCTCTACTAGACTAACCACAAACACCATAGTTGTTAAGACTTCCAAAGAGGCTGGGGAGAAGGAGGATAAACCAACCAGGAAACAATGTAGACAACAAGGTTATCAGGAAACAAAGTAGGCAACAAGGTTATCAAGAAACAAAAAGAAACTGTCATTGCTACACTAGCTAAAATGATACAGACTTTGAAAAGCTAAACAGCCAAGAAACCACATGGTTCCTTTACTTCTGAAGCCTCTAGTGACAGGATTTGTATTCCTAACAGTCTATATTCCTAGGAAAAGAGGGATCACAGACGATCAAACAACAACTCACTGTTTTCATAACTTGACTGGTAACTGGGGGAAAGGGAACTGGTAAATGACAACAAGTGACTTACAGTGCATTTACTGATCTGTTGGGGATATGGGGGGAAGTCACGTTCCAGACATCAGCCTCAGTTTCCCCACCCAAAAAAGGCGAGAACATGACACTTCGCTCAGAGGAGCCAGAGGACCTTGTTCCATACGCCTCCACCTACTCAAAGGTCCCTTCAAACGCTGGACTCAGTAGGGGTCCCCAGTTCAACTGAGGCATGACACCCGGAGACTTCGGGGTGGGGGGAAAGGATAAAGGAAGGAAGGTCAAAGTGCGCAAAGCTCTGTCGGTTCCTGGAAAGCCATTTTCCCCACACACTGGGGGTGCCCTAGACCCAACATCTCCTCCCAAAAGAACCACACCGGGAAGCCCCAGCATCTCTCCCTCCTTCCGGCTTCTCCCTCGGTTCCGGGCTGCCCCTCCGGCCGCGCCCCTCAACGCAGTCCGGTAGCCCCTCCTCTGGCAGTGTCACGGCGGCCGGCCCGCCTGCCCACCCGCCGGCGCCAAGGTCTTCTCAACCCCGCGGCGGAAGGATGCCGGGCTGGGCCTCCCAGGCTCCTCCTGGGCCTACCTGCAAGACAGACGGGAGCTCGGTTTGCAGTCCAGCGGACAAGCTGAGCCACAGGGAAAAAGAAGGAGGAGGCACGAATAAAGCAAAGGGTCCGTTCTACCGACCGGCAGGAGAAGGCGGCTTGAGCGCGGGGCCTCGCGGATAACTCAGTCCTCAACCCGGCGCCGCCGCCGCTCAGGAGACATCAAGCAAGAAGACGGCGCAAAAGATCACCGAATACAAGAACGCCCCAGACATCAAAGGAGGAACGCCCAAGCAATCGTTCAAGGAACCGCAGCCGAGCGCCGAAAAGCAGCTCAACTCCTACTCAAAGTCCGACTCCTGTCCGAGGCATAAATAAACAAACCCAGATCATAAGCCACAGGGTAAAAAAGAGCCTGCGCTTCTGCCATTTTCTGTGGGTCCGCCGGCAGTTAAGGTTGTTTAGAGAACTGTAGTTTCTCGTGAATGTGTTGAAGATCAAATCATAGCGCAATAACACTTGTTGTCTATAGCCCCGCGACTGTTTTATGGACTCCCAACACTCTTTATCCCAATTGAGCAAATTACTTAACCTCATTTGACCTTTGGTTTCCTAACAGAACAGTGAGGGGAATTAAAAATCGTAGAGAAAGAAAACGAGAGAGAATTCAGGCTGAGGAACAAAATGAACAGTCTACGTAAAAGCTCCAGTGTAGCCCCCACAAAGCATGACCAAGAGAAGCTGGGAAAACCCAGAATTTTGTAGCCTGACCATAAGGCGGGGGTGGGGGGGAAAAGTACACGGATTGCTTTTCTCTTTTATTTTCTTCCAAAGGCCTAGAGCCACAGGTGTGCTTCTTACATAATAAGCAAAAGTCTCTCTGGGTTCAAAACCTGATAAAGTGTTGACATTTTCATCATTACAACAATGGCTTTTTCCTGTAGTCTCTTAGTTGATAAATGAATATGCTCAGCACAAATATGAATTAATATGTACATCCTAGGTATGATTCAATAAATCACAAAGATCACTGCAAGTATGGTTACCAAGTGTGAGCAATCATAGTCTACCTTACATCCTCCTAGGGAGGTTTACACCCTTCCCCACTACTTAGGAAGGGTGTAAAAAAGAAACAAGATAGTCCCAGTTTGGTCGGACGCAGCGGCTCTCGTCCATAATTCGAGCACTTTAGGAGACCAGGCTGGTGGATTGCTTTGAGCCCAGGAGTTCAAGACCAACCTGGGCAACATGGTGAGACTCCAGCCTCTACGAAAAAAAAAAAAATACAAAAAGTTAGCCGGGCCTGATGGCTCCCGCCTGTAGGCCCAGCTGCTCAGGAAGCTAAGATGAAAGGATATCCTGAGCCCGGGAGGTGGAGGCTGCAATGAACCATGATCATACCATTGCCGGATCTATAGAACAAGACCCTGCCTAAAAAAAGTTTTTAAAGGCCGGACACAGTGACTCACGCCTGTAATCCCAGCACTTTGGGAGGCCGAGGCAGGTTGATCACGAGGTCAGGAGTTTGAGACCAGCCTGGTCAAGATGGTGAAACCCCGTGTCTACTAAAAATACAAAATTAGCCGGGCGTGGTGGTGGGCGCCTGTAATCCCAACTATTCGGGAGGCTGGGGCAGCAGAATCGCTTGAACCCGGGAGGCGGATGTTGCAGTCAACAGAGATCGTGCCACTGCACTCCAGCCTGGGTGACAGAGCAAGACTCCGTCTCAAAAAAAAAAAAAAAAAAAAAAAAAAGTTCCAGCCTTTAAAGACTTTAAAATCAAAGAGCACATCCTTACAGTATGAGCCTTTTTAAAATAATGTATTGCCACTTTACAAAAATCTCCTCTAAGTCTTTGAAAATACTGGCCAGGCCGGGCGCAGTGGCTCATGCCTTTAATCCCAGCACTTTGGGAGGCCGAGGTGGGCAGATCATTAGGTCAGGAGATTGAGACCATCCTGGCTAACACGGTGAAACCCCATCTCTACTAAAAATACAAAAAATTAGCCGGGCGTGGTGGTGGGCGCACGTCGTCTCAGCTACTTGGGAGGCTGAGGCGGCAGAACTGCCCGAATCCGGCAGGCGGAGGCTGCAGTGAGCCAAGATCGCGCCACTGAACTCCAGTCTGGCGACAGAGCGAGACTCCGTCTCAAATAAAAATTTAAAAAAAAAAAAAGGAAGCTTCCTTCTTGGAGAGGCTTGTGGGGCATAGCTATAGCCCTCATTCAAATTTGACTCAGATAACTACATTTGTTTTTTTGTTTTGTTTTTGTTTTTGTTTTTTTGAGACAGAGTCTCGCTCTGTCGCTCAGGCTGGAGTGCAGTGGCCGGATCTCAGCTCACTGCAAGCTCCGCCTCCCGGGTTCACGCCGTTCTCCTGCCTCAGCCTCCCGAGTAGCTGGGACTACAGGCAACCGCCACCACGCCCGGCTAATTTTTTTGCATTTTTAATAGAGACTAGTTTCACCGTGTTAGCCAGGATGGTTTAGATCTCCTGACCTCGTTATCCGCCCGCCTCGATCTCCCAAAGTGCTGGGATTACAGGCTTGAGCCATCCTGCCCGGCCAACTACATTGTTTTGAAACCTTGATTGCAGTGAAAAAACCTAAAGAAACTAATTTCACTGCTCTAAGACATTTTCCGTTTTTCAAAAGCTGGAGACTTTTGAGTAAAACACCTGAAAGTTCGGCAAAGATTTATCTAAAATCATCTGAAAATGGCGATATTTGCAAAGCTGAGTCTAGACTGCTTTGTGAGACCATGGAAAGCGTGGCTTATTCTATGGGCAGAGTTGCACCTCTACAGATAAATTTCCTTCAGAGAACTGTTCTTTTTAAATATGTGTGTGTGTGTGTATATATATATATGGATTTAAGCTTCAGTTTGACAGCAAACTACTGCATGTTCTTATGGAAATATTTATTTGGATTGAAGATGGATCACAAGGGATCAGGAGTTGAAACCATCAACCTTGCAGGAATCTCCTCACACTAGAGGAAAAACTGTAAAAATGAAACAAGGCCAGCAGAAGTGAAGATCATCCTGGGCTGTACCCCTGATGTTCCTCGTATTGGTGTTAAGACTCAAGAACTTACGGTGTTGACTGTTGATCACTGAATTCTGGCAGGACCCTCCTCATGGATCCACTCCCCGGAGGTAGGACGGTGCTTCCCTGAAGTAGGATAACCAGTCTTAGCTTTGCCCAGGACTGAGGGGTTTCCCAGAACATGGGACTTTGAGTGTTAAAACTGTGACAGCCATGGGCAATCTGGGACAATTCACTTTTAAGCATGGACCTTGCCCCTGTCAATCACATGGAAAAAACTTTGGAAAGACTAAACCAACAAGAGGCCAGGTGTGGCAGCTCACATCTGTACTCTCAGCACTTTGGAAGTCCAAGGTGGGAGGATAGGTTAAGTCTAGGAGTTTGAGATCAGCCTGGGCAACATAGTGAGACTGTGTCTCTAAAAAACAATTTTTTTTTTTTTTTTTAAATTAGCAGCGAGTGGTGGCATACACTGGCAGTCCCAGATGCTCAGGAGGCTGGGGCAGGAGGATCACTTGAGCCCAGGAGGTCGAGTCTGCAGTGTGTCATGATCACACCACTGTACTCCAGTCTGGGCAACAGAGACAGTGAAACCCTGCCTCAAAAAAAAAAAAAAAAAAAAGGATGAGGATGGGGCACACTTGCTTAGGAGACTTGCCTGGAATGAAGGGTGAAGGAAGGAGGGGAGAAAAGAGGGAATTGGAGACTGTTCCTTATCTTGGCTCTGGGTTCTGAGAAACATGCCTCTACCACACACTTGGTGGTAGATATCAGGCTTGAACCTAGTGTGAGATAGTTCTGTAATAGTACTGTGAGTCACCTTATTAGGAAGTGCAGGAAGACCAGTCAGGCCTTGAACAGCCGAAATGCTAAGTCAGTTGTCAATTCTACCATTGCAATTCTGTTCTGTTCTTTTCTAGCCTGTTCTTTTTGTGCTGTGGGGTAATGTATACATTTGATGATGGAATGGTAAAGATAGAAGTAGTATAGTTATGTAGGAGCAGCGTAGGGAAGGAGAGAGACCCCAGAACAGCAGGGAACTGCTAGCTGTAGAATGATAGAAGGCTCTCCCTTCTTTGGAATTATTTCCATAAGATAAATCTCCGGTGATGAAATTTATCAATAGATCAAAATGTATGAATATTTTAAGGCTCTAGAATGACAAATAAGTCAGCCCATCTATAAAAGACAGCATAAAGATTAGAGAAAGTCAACATGTCAACAGAATAACAGATCCTTAACATTTTGCTGGGCAAACAGGGAGGCCCCTTTTTGAAATTTGCTAATTTATGATTTCAAAGTCTAATCTCCTTTCTCCTGTTCAGTATCCAGAGATCTAATTTCTTCTACTTTACAATCACAAGAGGCCTTCATTTGTAGTCATTTTTTTTTCTTTTTATTTTTTGGAGTTTTGCTCTTGTTGCTGGAGTTGCAATGGCACGATCTCAGCTCACTGCAATCTCTTCCTACCAGGTTTAAGCGATTCTCCTGCCTCAGCCTCCCTAGTACTGGGATGACAGGTGCCCGCCACCACGCCCAGCTAATTTTTGTATTTTTAGTAGAGACAGGTTTCACCATATTGGCCAGGACGGTCTTGATCTCCTGACCTTGTGATCCGCCCGCCTCGGCCTCCCAAAGTGCTGGGATTACAGGCGTGAGTCACCATGCCCAGTCTGTAGTCATGTTTACAAAAAAAAGTTTAGGCTGGGCACTATACTTTATGCCTATGATCCCTATAATCTCAGAGCATTTCAAGAGGCCAAGGCAGGAGGATTGCTTGAGGCCAGGAATTTAAGAGCAGCCTGAGCAACATAGTCAGACCCTGTCTGTACCCCCCCAAAAAAAATTAGCCAGGCAAGGTAGTGCACACTTCTAGTCCTAGCTACTTGGAAGGCTGAGGTGGGAGGATCACTTGAGACCAAGAGTTCAAGGCTCCAATAAGCTACAATCACACCACTGCACTCCAGCCTGGGTGACAGAGTGAGATCCTGTCTCTACAAAAGTTAATTTAAAAAAAATTCAGGGCTGGGCGCGGTGGCTCAAGCCTGTAATCCCAGCACTTTGGGAGGCCAAGACGGGTGGATCACGAGGTCAGGAGATTGAGACCATCCTGGCTAACACGGTGAAACCCCATTTCTACTAAAAAAATACAAAAAACTAGCCGGGCGAGGT